TGACTGCTACATTTCTTTTTACACGTTTATGTGGTTGGTGAAGACCTTTGCATTGAAAACCATGTTCATTTGAGACACTAGCTTGTAGGGATCTAACTTTTTTTAAAAGTCAGAATCTCACTTTTCGTCCCAGAGAAAACCCATCCTGAGGATGTCTGCTGAACTGTATGGGTGGTGGAGGAAGAGCTTATATTTAGCTGAGGCTTTGCAATAATTCAGAGACTTGCCTGTGGGAGGTGTGCAGCTACATGAGAAATTCTGTTTAATGGTGCTTTACGAAAGAAACATCATTTGTGTTTTGGGGAAGAATATGTATTTTTCTGTGGTTGAATTTTGCTCAGTTACTTTTAATTAATTTAGTGTTGTTAAAATTGCCACCTACATGGATGTCATTTGTTTCGTTTTTGCTTTAAATCCAATCTACAGCAAACTGCAAGTTGTTCCCTTGTACAAATTATGTATGACTGAAACAGGTGGAAAGGGCTTAATATGGTTTTCAGAGAAATATAAACCAAAAGATTTCTATTCTTTTCCAGCAGAAAGAAAAAAAAGAAAATAATTCAACCTGAAATTTTTTTTAGCTTTAACCTAATGGGCTATTTTTCTAGAATGAGCAGATACAATATCAGTGTCAATGCAGTAGAATTACGCCAGCTTTTCCCCACTGATTGCAACACAGTTGTATGGTTTTGTAGCAGATGAGTCCTGGTGTACCACTAGACTGCTTTAGATGGGAGAGAAGTCTAAGTCTTTTAGTGTAACATGCTTCATCTTCTGATTCTAGTTGATGTGTTCCCTCATTTAGTCACATTTTCTGATAAACTGTTTGTCCGTTACAGGTGAAAAACCTTATCAGTGTGATTTTAAGGACTGTGAACGAAGATTTTCTCGTTCAGACCAACTCAAACGGCACCAAAGACGACACACAGGTTTGTTGACAACACATCTCTACTCATTAGAGTTCATCTTTATATGTGAATTACGATCCAAAAAGTATACTTCTTGTTGTGGTGCCCAGCCGGCAACTAAGTACCCTGCAGCCGCTCACTCACTCCTCCCCCCTGCCACCGGTGAGATGGGGAGGAGAATTGGAAAAAGGTAAAACCCGTGAGTTGAGATAGAACAGTTTAATAATTGAAATAAAATTAAGAATGATAATAATAATAATGAATGTAATGAAAAGGGAGATAACAAAGAGAGAGGAATAAACTCCAAGACAGACAAGTTATGCACAATACAATTGCTCACCACTCACTGACCGATGCCCAGCCCATCCCTGAGCAGCGATCGGCCCCGCCCAACCAACTCCCCCCAGTTTCTATACTGGGCATGACGTCCTGTGGTATGGAATATCCCTCTGGCTACTTTGGGTCAGCTTTTCTGGCTGTGCTCCCTCCCGGCTCCTTGTGCATCTGCTTACTGGCAGAGCATGGGAAACTGAAAAGTCCTTGACTTAGAATAAGCTCTACTTAGCAACAACTAAAACACTAGTGTGTTATCAACAGTATTCTCATATTAAATCCAAAACCACAGCACTGTACCAGCTACTAGGAAAAAAATTAACTCTATCCCAGCTGAAACCAGGACACTTCTAAACTTCTGTTTATCTGATGTTGTGTCTGCTCATGCTTGATACCCATACTGGCAAATTGTTGAAGTTAGCTTTAGGAGAGGACTGTAGCTGGGGTTTTTTATTGGCATTTCAACACTGCTATGGTTGTATAGGTGACCCTTTCATCCTGCCACCATCTTTTTGAAACAGCTTTCTTAATAAAACTATTTGCTCTATACTGTATCCCCACTATAGGGAAAATATTATTTTAAAAAACCAAACAGTTCTGCAAGAAAAAGTTGCCAATGAGTAACCTGCTAAGTGCTACTGCTGGTGTTCCGATGTTTGTGTGGCAATGCTAATAGGTGAATGCTGCATGTGCATAACCGGAGAGGCCAGTGGAATTACTGTGCACTTTTATGTGGAAAGCAGAACTGGAGGAGAAAAAGCCACACCAGCTATAATGCATAAAATCCTAATTCAGGAAACCACTTAAACTTAGATTTGAGCCTTTCTTGAATTCTGCCAACTAAAGAAGGATTCTAGGAGGAGCAAGGAGAGAAATGTCAAAGGTCTGGCTGGTTGGATTGCAAAAATAGCCTGGGAAGTGTATAGCAGTTCACATAGAGCGGAGAGGACAGCAGCAGTCATGAATGGGTCGGGGTGCTAGCTGGACTTATGTATCTTTCTCAGTGAATCATGTACTGGGTGAAATTTTCCAAGACAGCCGAAACTACTTGTGAGGTCAGTCCAAATTCGGCATGTTGTTTTTTGCGCATACACCGTTTTCTGGAAATGTCAAGACAGCCCATTTCAGCATTTCAGGAGTTCTTGGAGGTCTAGACTAGACTGAGAGGGGAGGCAGCTGCCCTTCTCAGAGTCGCAGAAGAGGAGATGGTGATGACTCCAGCCTCCTGGCTGGGAGTGGAACCATGAAGCACTCTGCACGGAACACCAGAAGGGGCTTCAGAGTACTCCTCTGGCTGAGTCACAGCAAGAAATTGCATTTGGGTCTCCGAAATCTCAGGCAGTGACCTGACAATTGATTTACTCATTGTTCTGTGGTGCATTTCTGACTCCTCCTTTTCTTACTAAAGATGTTCTATCTCACTGAAACGGTGTTATTGAGAGATCTAGTGTCTCTGGAAACTGATGGTAAAAGTACTCTCTGATACATTTTTAACAACTGCGTGCTAGGACGTATCTGTATTAAGCAGTCCTCAATACTTACATGTAGCATGTAAAGTAAGTAGTAGAAGTGTAAAGTTAAGTCTAATGGGAGTGCATAAAAATATACCTCTGCACCTCTATTCTTCTTATGTCATATTTACTCATACATGATACCAATAGTGCCAAGCCACAGGATCAGGTTTAACAACATTTGCAGATCCTTCTTAGTCCAACAGTGTAAGTGGGTGTTTGCTTATGGTGGTGCTGTTTGGATGCTTCAGACGCAGCCGTCAGAAGAGGAGGTTACAAAGGGATGGTGGCTGGATTAATGACTCTCTGAGCTGTGTAGGCGTGAAGCTGGGAGGAGCAGTTACAGTAACGAATACAAAAAACCCCAGGCTTTTGAAAAGTCATAAAGAGCTGATTTCATTCACCCTTCCAAAAGATGCTAGGATACAAGAATAGATTTTTTTTTTTTTCTTTTTCTCTTTCTTCAGGTGTGAAACCCTTCCAGTGTAAAACCTGTCAGAGAAAGTTCTCCAGATCTGATCATCTGAAGACTCATACCAGGACTCATACAGGTAAAACAAGTGCGTAAACTTTTCTTCACATTTATATTTCGTTATTTTTAAAGTTTAAATCAATGTTGTTGTAAATTACATGATTAGAAATTCTCTTAACCAGGAGTTAAATATTCAAAACAACAGAAAGATTTTCAGAGTGTGCTGATTTTTCAGTGTGACTACATTCCCCAAGTGTCACAGTCACTTTTCACAAAGGGATTTACGTGATTTTTGGAAACTATGCTTTCCTCCTTCATGCTTAAAGAAATTTCAGCTTGGCAAAATATATTTTGTCAGCTATTATGAAATGAACATCATGGTCTCAGCCCACAAATGTCAAGTTGATCTACTGCCTTTACTGAAAAACCCTACAAGATAGAAATTTTAATTCTAGCTTCAGCCAAAGGTCTGTAATCTAAAGTGTTCGTGCCTACTCAGGCTTCTCCTAAGTGTCAGCTGAGCCTAATGCAGGATAGCGCAGCAAAGCTCTTGCTGTTGCTGCTTGTACTGTAATCTCTCCCAAAGATAAAATGAGTGCCTTTTGCAAGCTCACACTGACAGACACTAAAGTAAAAGCTTACTCAAATATTCAAGGACCTTTTTGTAGAAACTATAGTATTTCGTATAAATACAGGGAAAGAAATAGGAGGCCATTTTAATCTACTCTGCCCTCGTGTAAATGTAAACACCATTAAGGAGCAACTGCAGCAACCTCTATATTTTAGTTTTAAGCTTTAGAATTATTACCTATGAACTGACATTTTCTATTCCCTTCCACTATGTATGCAGTATTTTTACCAAGTAATTGTTTACCAAGCACTTTGACATGTTATTGGATGTCACTGTGTTTTCTATACTGGTGTTAACCTTTTAAATTCAGTCTCTGTACAGATGGACAAACAGCCTGAAAATCTTTTTCTCCCTGCTAAGGATTCTTTTTTATCTTCTGGACCATAAAACCACATATCTAAGTCTTTCAAAAATAAAAGAGAAATTTTAATAAAGGAAATGATTCACCTGAGAACAATGGCATTTTCTGTGGCACTGACCAGATTGATGCTTCAAGTAATGGCCATATCTACAGTTGCAATCTGCAAATGGTAAAGGGCGTGGCTGTGTTCTGGGTTCATCCCATAGTCTCATGATGAGTTGCAGGGCCTGGGTCTGTGTGCATTTGCATGAAGAAAGGTATTGTCTTAATCAGCCAGAGGTAACGTTCTGGTAGAGACAAAATGGCAAGTGGTTGTCACATGCTAGCAAGCCAGGATAAACTACATTCCCCATTACATGTCATTGCTAACTGGTCTGCCAATTCAAGACTTTAATGACTCTGGTGATTTTTTATACCTCAGATTAGCTAAATCAATGAAGAACTTGCTCTTCAACTAGTTCTTGCTCCATGTGATCCAAGCCCACGCTGCACTCATTGCTGAAAGCAGCCTCACTTGAGCACCGATAACCTCACGGCACAGACCTTTGCGTGGGCTTGCTGCCTGCCGCTGGTGCAGGTTCTGGGCTAGCTCTGCAGCCCAGCTGTGTGCTGCTGTGCTGATGCTCCTCTCGGCGGTTTTGGATGTGTCATGCTCCTTTGACTGTAAAATACACGTATCCTGAGGGGAATGAGCACCAGTGGTGGGTGGGGATTTTTCATCTCCAGCTTGCCCTGTAGCTTCATCCCTCTTTCTTTCTTGAACCCCCTAAATTTTCCAACAAAACACCTAGCTCAAGTTAACTTGCTCCATATTATATCTTGATGAAGCAAAGCACAGCTGACTTCCATCTAATTCCATTCTAATTTCAAGTCAACTGCCAAACTGTTTGTTAAGCTACAAATTCAGGGGGTTTTGGCTCCACCAGCAATTTTGCTGCAACAGCAATCTTTGCTGTAGAAAGCAAAAAAATGAATCAAAGGAAAACTCCATACATCTATATACATTTTTAGCAATGGAAAGGTGATTTCTGATGTCTGTACGGTGAAGCTATACAAAGTAATTTGTGCCCAGCATGGAACTAACAGAGATTGCTGCCTGCTGTTGTGAGTGGACAACCAGAATTGCTTGTGGAACAGCAAAACGGTGCTGCTTTTGCTGTGGTAGTTCAGTGAAAAACTGGCCAGTAATAGATAACTCACATCAGTCCACAGGATGGTTTTGCTAATGCTGCTGAGGTGAAAGAAGACCACTTTTTATACAATCTGTGATTTTTAATAGTAGCTCTGACCAGATCAGTTTTGTCCAATACTGTTATGCACTCATGTGAGAGAGCCGATGCTTTTGCCAGCATGTAGGTTAAGTGGATAAAGTAGATTTTAAACACCTCCCCCCCTTAAATATGTTGCATGGGATTTTGCAAAGAGAAATACACATTTATGCCAATCCCAGATCCCCTTTTGCATAAATTTGGATGTTTGTGAAATATACAAAGTGTGAGGCAAAGAAGAGGAGAAGATGTCTTGGTGAGCTTGTACCACCCCAGTCTGTCTTGAGTTGGAGAGTACGAGGTGTGTAGACAGCACTGAAGAACCCAGCCTCAGAGCTGAACCTACTTTAAAATATTGCATGTATTTTGGGGGAAAAAAAAGAAAATGCAATTCTAAAGAAACATGAGTCACCGGGCACTGCTCTGAGCTAATGAAAGCATTCCATCAGCATTCCTGTAGCATCAGAAACAAAGCCTGAAATTCCACTAAATATTGCAGAAAATTGAGAGACCAGATTAAACTGTAAAAAGGTGATGGCATTTGTTGTTAAAATTGAATGTGCTTTGCTTGGGGTCATTTTTAGTGAATTTTATGCTCATGGGAACATTAGAAAAATACTGAATATTTTGAGCCTTTAACATCTCCCATAGATGTGAATCTAATTTATTTAGACAGTAGTGGGAAACTTTCAGTCTGGCTCAGCAGACTTCATGCTGAACTCTGTTGCTTCTACCATATTCACTTACACTCACCAGTTTCAAAGAACTTTGGCCCAAACTCATTGAACTAGCTGGAAAAACTCTCCTTGACTTGAGGTCAAGCTCTAAATAGTCACTGACAATTTTCAGAGTGACTAACAGTGTCTGCACCACAGTCCGAGGTGTGACTGAAGCTTGTGCGAATGCCCGAGTGACTTTTAAACTAGTTCGCTTGAGAGCGGAGAATAGCATAGACATGGCAACACGGTGTTCAGTAAGGGCCTGGCTTCAGGAACAGACTGCTGCGAAACGTTCTACGTCGTCTGAAAAGGCTGTTGTTAAAGATCAGCTGCGGGAGATGTAGGAAAGCGCTGAGCGCTGATGTGGGCAGGACTTGAGGGTGCTCCCACGCCCTCTCAGGACAGCCTGGGATGCCTTTCCTCCTGGCAGGGGCTCTGCCTTGCTCCTCACAGCCCTGCAGAGAGAAAACAAACAACAGTATCTCAGGCGAGCTGTATACCCAGTTAATAACAGGGTGTTTTGTTAACAGGTGAAAAGCCTTTCAGTTGCCGGTGGCCCAGCTGTCAAAAAAAATTTGCCAGGTCTGATGAATTAGTTCGTCATCACAACATGCACCAGAGGAACATGACTAAACTGCAGTTGGCCCTTTAGACAGTTCAAACAAATGAATAAACCAGATGGGACATTATGAGCTACTGCAAACTTTATCAGCCATCTTCGATCACCTCTGTCAGAAAGCTGCAGCTGTCTTCGCATCCTATTTGAGACGAGTTAACTAAACCATAGGATTCTGCTCAGCCTTGTCTTCCATTTGGACTTACACAAGTTCCTCTTCAATAAGTTCAAGAGATTTTTATTTGTAATTTTGTTAAAAAGTAAGCAAGACTGCCACAGTTTCAAGATTCCTATAAACTCTGCTTACCTTTCACAGCTGTCTCCAGTTTTCTGGTTTTATTTTCACTTGAATTTTTCTAGGTACAAATTGTTGTGCCTTTTTAAGTCCTGCAGTGGGAAGGATGATTCCTCCCTGTTGAAGGTAAGCTTTACGCTTACTTCATCTGTGCATGTGCTGAGTTTTCCAGATGCTAGTACAGCTAGTCTCACAAAATGAGATGGAACAATCACCTGAGATACTTTTGGTAAACTTTGTACTCGTACTGCCAAAGGGCAAGCTTTTAAAGTTGGAAGCTCTGCTTTTGAATTTCACAAATCAAACCTTTTTTAAAGGACGTATTTCTAGAGCAGCTAAAGCTAGGTGAACCAGAGCCTCTCTGTACAGAGAATAAGAATCTTACCATTAAGTTAACTTGTTTTTTAAATAACCACATAACTGATCCCCCTAAACTGTTTTGTTTGTCAGTTAACTCTCTCTCCCTTTCTCTCTCTCTCTCTTTTTAACGTATTGCTTTAGATTTCTTCTATCATGAGATGCATAGCTCTCCTTTACACAAAACTAATTCCAATCATTGTAGACATTTGGGATTTGTTTACAATGTAAAGCCACACTGGTTATGTGGCTCACAAGCTGTATAAACTTAAAACTGAACTTTTAATGGGGCTGGTCCAGGATCTCCATGAACAGATTACTCTTAAGATAAGTAACTTAAAAAGACTCTTTGTCAAGTATATGTGAAAAAAGACATTATTAGTGTAAGGAAATATATTGTTTTAGGGTTTTGGGAGGAGGGGTTTATTATTTACTTTTAATTGCTTGAAATTGTGTGTATATATATATATCTGATAATGTATTGCTCTTAGACATCTAAAATTAGAAAATGTATAAATATTAGATGCATCACTGTTCCAATGTTGTTGCTGTTACAAACTATTGATAACACTAAGAATGTAACCTGCATTTTTCACTGAGCTTTCAATTAAAGCCCATTCAAAGAGAAACAAATGAGAGTCCAACAGATGTCTTGTTTCATGTCTGGTATTAAATTTCAAATGCCCTGTCCAATAGTATCCATTTTTTTTTTTTGTATATAAAGGTACCACCAGCACTGATGACCACTAGTTAACCTGTCCAGGTCTTGACCACAATTTATCCATCTCACTTGGGAATCATACTGGCAGCAGCAAACAGTGTCAAGTTTCATATTGTGCTGTAAAGCAGTTGCTTCAATCGCTCGTCTTCTTACCAAACCATTCCTTTTCTTGCGGCCCGTAAGATTTGTATAAGAACTTCATAGAATAGTAAAATCTGGTTTATAAATAGCAGTACTGGCCTTCTGTAGAACTGTGCTGAAGCCATAAGCACAGATAACTTCTTAGATTAGGATGTCATAGACTGACTTTTAAGTAAAAGTTAACTTAGAGTTGGGGTGGCAAAAATTCAGCAGGTTGAAAAAGACAGTCTTTCTTAGATGATGAAGTGTGAAAATGAAGATAAAAAAATATTACTGTTTCTTTGTCATACTACCTACTTTTCTTTGGAAGTAAGTACAGCCTGCCTGAAGGCCCTTTGACCTTGCAAAATATTTGTATCTCTTTAGCAAAAATCTTTAATGTATCTTGCCAAGCTTTTTTCTCTAATGTACACAATGGAGTTCTATGATGGGTTGAGCTTTCTCTCTTAGAGTGCAGCTGTGTCGTCAAGAAAACTCAACAGTTAATTCTTCAAGTCCTCTTTTTCGCATGGGTATTGCATCACTGTTAATTACTGTTGGGGTACTGTGACTCATTTGTATCAGTCAACTTTATCTTTTACTGCCAAAAGACAGCATCTCTCTGGAGAAACTCATAACAAGTGTGGCAAACATCAAATATTTGGAGCGAATGGTGTACATAAAACTGCACAGAATTAAAAAATAAAGCAACTCCTCCTGCTTTCTTGAGAGAAAAGTTCAATTGCAATAACAATGTCCTCTGATTTACCCAGCGGTCTTCTGCAACTACAAAACAATCTGTTTTTCAGTCTGCACCCAAAATAGAGAGCTGCCATGAGTGTTTATACTAAAAGCCAAAAAAAGAAAAAACAGCCTCCAGTTGTGCTTGCCTTAGGCAAACATAACTAAAACTATCTTGTCTGAAATACAACCAAAACGGCGCTGCAGCACAGGCCACGCTTCCAGTGACCTGTAAATAACTACAGCCATGGCTTTGCTGCTTAGTGAATTGTGTGCCAAATAATAATGGTAGATGGCTACAAAGAATGACGCGTGGGTTGCTGAGTGACAGAGCATGTCCTTTTGGGTTTGCGGTTGCCACTTTCTCAATGGAAGTACTTATTGCTACTCTCCTGTTTGGTGTTCTTTATGTCCCCCAACCTGCCGAGTACAGTGAGGACGATGGTAAATGTTCACAAGATTTTTAAAATTTTTATTCCTAGTTATTTTACAGTCTTTGTCACGAAAGGCATTTTATGTCTTTCCTTTTCATTTCCCTGTTTTCAGGATTCTATCAGCAAGGTAAGCCACCTTTACAGAAGTGCTTTACTACACGATTTCTCAGAAGCAGCCCCCAGACGCTGGTTCTCGCAGCATGCAATTCCTCATTTTGCGGCAAGCAGAAACTGCTCAGCAGGCTGAGTTTCTGTGAGCTTGACCTCCATATGAAAGATGAGGGGGCTGCACTCTATTATATCTTACAAGTATCCTTAGCTCTCTGGAAAATTTTCAATCCCACGATTAATTGAGCACGTCTTTTATGCCTCTGCCTTCTGTTCTTAAACTGAAAATAGTGACCGGTGCTTTTTGGCTGATGGTTAATGTCTTACTGTGTTTGGCACACTATTCCTGTCCTGTAGCTTCCATAGCCCCCCAGGATGGAGAATGTTAATTATGTAGATAAACAATTCTGTTTTTTCTTGTCACTTTACCATGTCCAAGATGTGTTGGGTAGGAAAGGGCCTGTGATCTCTTTGCTCTCGGATGGTGTTAGCTGGGATTCAAGGGTTCACTTACACCAATTTTCTCGAGGTAGGTGAGTCCAGCAAAGTGTCCCTTCTACTTTAGGAAAACATGAGAGCTAACGTGTCTGAATTGTAACCTCGTGATCTACTTCTGGTGCATGTCATAGTCTTTCAGGGTACGGGCTGTACCGACCAAACAGGAGGCACAGAGGTGTTACCTTGCTGCAGTTAGGCAACCAACCTGAAGGCAGCCCGTCCTTCACATGGGTGCTGATTGCTGTAAGGGCAGGGGGGGACTTGCAAAGAAGTAGCTCTTTCCTTCTCTTTCCGTGGTGGGTTAGGCGAGTTGTTCATTTTAGAAGCCCCTCCAACCAGGCCTATCTGTTTCAGGATGTCAGTAGGATTCATTTCACTGCTCCACCAACCAACCTTACAGCAACTGGGAACAGTTCCTGATGATGCAGGTAGGTGCCTTAAACAGTGTTTCCTCCTCCTTCCCTTTCCCCAGACAGGCACTGAGAAAACCCTGTCATGTGCGGCCTTTTCCCATCATCAGTGTGACCTGACAGCGAAGCCAGTGTGGTAAGCAAGCTGCTGCCAGCACCTTGCCCAAAAGCCCAGCAAGGCTCTGGAGTGGATGGAGGGGCTCTGAGAAGGTGCCTGCAGCCCCACACCTCAGAGCTGCCTGGACCTAGCACGAGGTGGGTACCGAAAGGCAACCAGCAGGCAGAGGTATGCTGCCGGAGGACGTGGAAAAGATCTGCTGCTCAGTCCTGCTGGAGCCCTGTTTGTACCTTCGCCTTGGGGCAAGTACAGGCAGGGAGAATCACTCAGCTTTTTAGTTGGGGAACTCAATGCCTCGCTCAGGGAAAATCCTCCTTCCCTCTCCCTCCCCTCCAATTAACGAAAAAGTAATTAAAGGCAGTGTATGCAGTTCAGAATGGCACTAATGGACAAGAAAGCCCAGCTGCAATATTTGGGAAGATCCAATAAAAGATTCATTAGGATTCTTTTAGTTATAGGAAGTCCCGATGACACAGAGGAGCCTAATGAAACAGAAGACCTGGTCACAAGACCGGCAAGTTGAAAAAAGCCCAAGCCCAAATCCCAACCCCACTGACACCATTCTAAGAATTAGACAATTAAGAGTAAAACCAGGAATGTAGCCAGAACTATTCCACCTCAAATAATAAACACAAGGATAAGTTGCCAAGTGAGGTCAAAGAAGCAAATGGTAAAGTGAATTTAAGAGACAGCTAGACACTTTTATGGGGAGAGAGAGGATTGAAGGATACAGTGACAAAACCGGGGGTAGGGTTGAGATAAACCCAGAGGACAGTGGTGGGCCAACAGCCTCAGAGAGTGCGCTGAGCCCCAGTTGCTCAGCAGAGGAGCAGAGCGGCTCTTGGCATTAGGGAGAGTCTTACCAGGGCTGTCGGCAGCGGCTTGCCAGGGCTGAAGGGAAACTGCTGGAATGGTTTGAAAGGAAGATGAGCCTGGCAGACAGAAATGGGTGCGCTCTCGATGCGCTCTCAGTGCGCTGCTTGTAAGTGCCACACTTGGTTTCACTAGTGAGATGCCTTGACAGACTTACTAAAAAGCAGTTTTTTGAAGAACTTCTACCCAAGTAGCTTGTCTTCTTGCAAGTTACCAGTGCAAAGCACAGAAAGAGACACCAAAAGAAAGAACAGAAAGAAAAAAAACCTTTTTTTTTTTCATTTTTCATGAAAGACTACTTGTAATATAGGAAAGAACAAGGTTGACTAGAATAAGGCAGAACAAAAATATACAAAGGTTA